TGAATCTGTATCATTGGATTGAGACTAGATGGGCAAATTATTAGAATTTGAAACCTGGCAGCCAGATTACAAATGAAAAAGTACAATATAAGGTTAAAAATGAGTTGAGTTAGGATAACCACATGAAAATATTTCTGATAGGATCAAGCTGGTTACAGTGTGAAAAAATATTTTTAAAGTCAAGTGTGAGCAACATATAACCTTCCATGTTGTTTTATTACATCTTATACCAGCCCTTATAATTAGTCATGCTGGCTAGGAGCTGATCTAAGGTTCAACATCTGAAGGACCACACATTTCATCCCTTTTAATATAGGTTCCAAATTGACATTCAGGAAAATAGCTCTACAAGTAGGCTTCCAGTCTGGGGATAATAACTTCAGTTCATTTATTTATTTATTTATTAAACTTGTCCCCGCCCATCTCCCCCCAATAGGGGACTCTGGGCGGCTCACAACATACTAAAACAATAAATAAATATACAATTAAAATTTATAACAGGACACGTTTACAAACATAAAAGGAAAAAATCCAGGAGGCCAATGGTAGCAACACCAGGCCTCTGGGGGGCTAGCCAACCCCACATCTGATAACCTCCCTCCCCACCCCAGGCCAGATGGCAGAGCCAGGTCTTCAAGTCCCTCCAAAAGACCAGGAGTGAGGGGGCCTGTCTCACCTCCGGGGGCAAGATGTTCCAAAGGGTGGGGGCTACAGCAGAGAAGGCCCGCTTTTTAATCAGATATTTCATATAATCGTACTTTTCCAAAGTGTAACTTCAACTATTACTAAAATAATTATTCCTATACCTCTAACAAGCCAAAACTAATATTCATTCCAAATGAGTGACGGTGTTTCTGTCCTGTTAATTTTAAAGCCAGGATTTCCTGACAAATAGCCAGTTGGATACTCATTGGCAAATGAATATTCTATTCTGCTGTAGAAAATAGATAGAAAGGGGACACATATATCACTATCCTAAAAGGTCACTAAGTAATATGACTAATAAAATAAGTGGTACAACCAGCAAACTAAAATATATTCAGTACCCTTCTAGTTATAGGACTTGACTACAGTAAGAAAAATATAATAGAAATATTATGAACTATATACAAACCTTCTCTACATCTCAAAAGAATAAATGTAATGGACAAAAATATTATAGGAGTAAGATTTGGGACAGTGGACAAATACTGCAACAACTATTGCCTCCTAATAAAGATAAACTCCTGAAACTAAGAACCAAAAGTTTGTATAAAATAAATTGCCAATGTGGGGACAATTATATTGGACAAACTGGGTTTCCCAAAAAGTGCAGAATTAAAGAACATGAAAGCAACATTATGCTTAAAAACATACAACAATGAGCATTCACTGAACATCAATCACAAAGGCCAAAACAAAAATAAACCGCTAGAGAAAGTCAACATCCTGGCACAGTGTTAAGAGATATTTATATAGAAACTACAAATTTATAAATATCCCAAAAATTGAAATAGCAGTATGATTATATGGTGGCTATTGATTAATTGTGGACATTCTGCTCCATCAAACACAGGTACCATGACGTTGGTTGCTATGGGCCTGGATGGCCTGGGCATCCATTGATTATAATGGTTCTCTCCAACCTGAGAACCACTAGTTCCTTCCTTGCCATCTTCCTTCCTTACACTAAGGAGCTGTTGTACAGATTTTTTATTTCAAGACAATAACTTTTTAATTAGTAAATATCTGGAATTAGGCACATTTAAACCATTATTTTCAACTGACATAGGCATTTCTAATGCTGTTACTGAATTACAGTGCAATCCTAAACATATCTGCTAGGATACAAGTTCAGTGAGTCCAGAGACTTAACTTCAGATAATTAGGTACAGGCTTGCTGCTTTAGTTTATTTTTTTTAAGGGTTAGGATTAAATAAACAAAACAGTCTTCCTTCTAGGGCTGTAATTAAGAAAAAAAATACATCTATTTGGGAAGACATACTATACGGGAGGACAAATTTTGTCTTCATCTCATCCATGTCCTCAACTTCAGTTCTTTTATTTTCTTTCATAGAATTCCACTAGGCCGATTTGACTACAGCACAGCTTTCCCTAGCCTGGTATTTTTGATTCCAAGTCAGCATGGCTGATATGCTTCATCTAGAAGGAACTAAAGTGTGTAGACCAACACATCTTAAGGGTACTAGTGGGAGAAAGCTGCTTTCAGACAAGAACACTTCAATAAAACCTCTGGTCTTACCCCTCAAATCCTTGGCAGAAGTTTTGTGCTGCCACACTAGTGTCCTTACTGCTATATTCTGTCTTCCCATGGAGTTGGTCAGCAGAAAAATGGCTGCCAGCCAGTACCCCACTTACTCCTGTTCTTCCATTGCTGCAAAGGAAAAATGGTAAAAAAAGAAAATCAATGACAGGCCACTTTGCAGAGGGGGTAGCAAATAGCCCCTCAAAGGAATTGGCGAGGAGAGGATGATGGTGGCAAGATGCCCAGCTTTTGTGGCTACAGTTCCTCCAGTGGGAACCTTCCCGAACCACAGCCCCAGAGGAAATGCTGTAAAAATATATCCTATGAAGCAGAAGCTGGAACAAGTGAACTGGCTCAGCTTCCCCAAGTTCTGGGTGCCTGAAAGGAGCTCAAATAACATAAAAAAACATTTTGAGTAGCACTAATAGTCGTTCTGTGTTATTAAATGCTTATTTCAAACACATAACTTCTTCCTTATTAGATGCCCCCAAGGCAATCTGTTAAGAACATATTCCAGAAAAACTGGGCTATTTCTAAAGACATTTCAGTCTTGCTTCAGAAAATAAGGGGATGCCAAAAGTCCAATACTCCACTAGAATTTTACAGTTAACAGTTATTTAATAATATATTGTACTGTAATGTAATATAATGGCTTGTTTTCCCATACTGATGTAAGAGTCCTAAATGTACACTATTCTCAGAACTGATGAATTCTCAGTATAGTTGTGATTATATAAAATGTTTACATTACATAAATGGCCTTTTCAAGTCAACAAATGATTATCTGAATTAAGATTTAATATGGCATTTAATAGGGCAGTGGGGGTTTCTTGGAAATGCTGGCAAGCAGGAAAAGAAGAGAACATTATTTTACATTGTTTGTTTCCTCAAGCTAACAAATAATTATCCTATCAGGAGGAATTCTCAAAGTATCCATTGAAATAATATGTGCAGATGTTCAGCCAACTGTTCTGGATAGAAAACAAGTTTTAAAAGTTCACATTCCAAGCTGATCTTTCTAAACAGTCCACTGCCAGTTGTACTGGATCTTGAGAACAAGAGCCAAAATAGAAGGGAGTTTCCTCATATTGCTGCTCATATTGCAGCTATTCACATGAATTTTGTTTGGAATGGAGTCAGAAATTGTGAATGATTCAGAATGCTGAAGGTTGAAATATAGTCCTTTTTTTTTGCATAATCCAATAAACCATCATAAAGGTTTGACACAAGTTTTCTTGAAATGCAAAGCACAATAGCATTTTTCAACCTTTTTTTAAGTAATTCTATCAAAATGCAGATGTCTAAAAAGAGATTTGAATAGTAAAATAAAGCATATTTAATTACCAGGTTAAGCATTTTCTGGCATTTGAATTGTGGCTTTTCCTCTATTTTGAAATTAGATTTTGCATGTAAAAATAATACATTTTAAAAGCAGACCTTTTTTTTAGTCTTCAACAGTCAAAATTAGTAAATCTGATTTTTTAAAAGTTGATATTAGTGAAAAGCTGTAATATTGTTTCCATATGCTTCATTCAGACACCTGGAATGCTTTTATGTATACTGATGTACAGTACTTTGAAACTTAGAATATGAATACATGATCCCCATATGAGCACTTTGCATTATGCTCTAAGGATCTTGAGCTTTTCATTACAACCTTTATTTTGACTGTAGAATTGATAAAGAATAAATAGTACCAGGACCAAAGTTCTATGTACACCTGCTTGGGAGTAAATCTCACTGAACTCATACTCCTGTGTAAACATGCAGTATTCAGATTCACTATTACTGCTTAGCATGTAAACTACCTGTTTGTAGTTTTATTCAGGGTAGTAACGTCAGTCTTTAGATAGAAGGATAAAAAGTTTGTGATTTCAAAAGCTGCATACAGTAGTTTACTGTAATATGTGAAAACAACCCTTCAAAAATAACATATAAAGGTGGAAAGAGGAACAGAGCTTAAACCACAGGAGGTGGCAGACGCTGGTTGGCTTCATGCGACATATTAAACCATGGGTAGGTTTTGGAACAGTGTACCGGTTTATTCAACAAACCATAGTTTAAACACACAATGGTTTAGCATGCTCCCGTCATTGGGTGTAACTAACAGAAATTAGAAAAG